GTGGCAAACTATACTGCATAGTTGAATGACCAAAATGCTAGAAAGATAATACACAATGATATACTAGGCTCTATTCACTGCTACCCTGACTATGCATTGAATTTCTCATAGAAAGTAAAGTACACTGCACTGTGATACGACACCCCCACTGGTCTTTCTGTATTCTGCAAATTCTAAGAGGCATTTTGTCAGAAAACACATTTTACTAACTGACACATATTGTCGATTACGGAAATGTGTTGATATTTGAGGATATATATACAAAGGATATCTCATGAGCAACCCTGATTTATTAAACAAATTGTGGCGATCAAAGAGTTGTTCACTGCTACAGTTTTCACTATTTCCATGACACATAAAATTAACTAAAACTTTTGAAGGACATCATGTAATTTTTTTACTCATTGTAGGGTGTATATTATGTTGAAAATGTTTTATAATAAAATTGTTAGAACGTAGTTTCTCAAATTAATCATTTGTTATACATGAATTCGATTTTAATTTAGGTTGTGCTCACTTTCCCTACTTTTATAATTAATGATCAGCCTTATTGTTGATTCACTTCCAAGATATGCTTTTGTACCTTGCATAAGCAGTTTCATCAGAAATTTACTTATAAGGTGGAAGTGATTTAATGTAGTTAAATAAATAAATAACTCCAAGGATAATTTAACATTTTTCAAAGTGAAAGCATGCCTGCCTTAACCCAAAATTTGTGGAAATGTTATCACCAGTCTCTTGCATCCTTAGCTGTCGTTGATGGCGCAATCACTGCTAGGCTGGTGCTTTCTAGCAATCTGTGGTGTTAGTTTTACGTATTTGAAGAATTTGGACGGTATTTTCTTTTACAGTATTTACAATATATACGACTTGACAATGTTGGATTGTAATTGAGTTTTCAGCATTTTAGGGTGTCATCAAGATAGCTATTTGCTTTGTCCAACAATAAAAGATGGACTGTATTACGTCGAACATTACGTACTTCCTGGAGTTTCAAAAAAATCATTGAGTTTGGACAATTTATGAACGTTTCTTCTACCGCGTTGCGCAGATTCTATATTGATTACAGATCGATCTACTCTTTTAGAGTTATCAATTCACTTTGATAAAACTTCTGTTTGAATTTAACATCTCTCATCAGTTTTTTTTTTACATCTACGCAATGCCGGGTAGAGTTTTTGAAAAGGTCAGTATACCAACAATTTGATTTAATTTGGAATAAATTATGCTTTCCACCAGTGAAAACTTGTATTGATCATGCTTGTAACTTCAATAATGACAGCACGTTATTTCCATTTGTGGCAAACTATACTGCATGGTTGAATGACCAAAATGCTAGAAAGATAATACACAATGATATACTAGGCTCTATTCACTGCTACCCTGACTATGCATTGAATTTCTCATAGAAAGTAAAGTACACTGCACTGTGATACGACACCCCCGCTGGCCTTTCTGTATTCTGCAAATTCTAAAAGGCATTTTGTCAGAAAACACATTTTACTAACTGACACACATGCGATGCTATTTGAAGATATATACAAAGGATATCTCATGAGTAACACTGTGATATCAGATTTATTAAACAAGCAAACTAATTTGTATTTGTTCCAGCTGTGTGTCGCTATTAAGTTTGAATATACTGCTATAGGTATTAGCTTGTTTAGATCTGATTCATGAACATGTGCTTGTTTACTTCTATCTAACTTTGGTAGTCGAAATCCAACGAGTATAAATTGTACTATACCATACAAAGGTTTCACCTTGACATAAATACCTCCCTAGGTTCGTAGTAATTCTCATATATGTGTTTTACCATTCACTGCATAGATAGAAGTACTTCACAAACTGAGATGGTGCTTGCAGTATTATTAGCGATGAACAATGTCGTGTTAATGCATAGACATTACAAGATAAATAAATAGACTTCCAATAGCATTGAAAGATTGCTCTAACTCACTAATGTATTACTCCGACATAAATAACTTCCCATGTTTGTAGTATTCTCATATTTATTTATTAAGCCTTAATTCAACCTTAGAGTAAAAAGGATTCGACATTGTTCCAAAGAGTAAAAATAAAAATAGGTCATAAGTTGTCATAGAGGTTGTGCTCTACAGGGAATAGTTGTGATTATTTGATCTAGCCTGCCCGTATTGAATACCAGCTTTGTCACTTGGTGAATAGAAATCAGTCAATTCAAAGTTTAAAAAGGCTCTAATTCGGAATAAAGTATACTAAATACTACTCCGCTGGGAACCCTGTAGTGTACTCATAGCAGTCATTTTACAATGCTTTGGAACACAACACCACACGTTGCGAAAACAACATGTTGTTCTGTGTGCATATGCTTTGAGATAGATGTAGTCTCTCACAATGTTGTTATTCTTGTTTTCATTAATCTGCACATGACAATACAACTAAATTAGATTCTGTAGTGTAATGTGCCAGTGCCCAAAGATCCAGCAGATTTTAGATTGTCTAGAATGACAGCTATTGGCGTTATTATTAAGAGCTGTAGTGTAGCATACTATTTTGCCCTGAGACAGGATCATGTATCATATGTTGAGGTCACTGGTGTCATATTTTCTAAAACATCGGAAGATGAGACTATATATGACCCAATCTGCAAATTTGTTGAACTGAACTAGAAATAGATATAAGAATGCCATCATTCAATGCTGAACCTATACCAAAACATATGACTCCTCTGCCACGAAAGGATTGTTTGGCCACCGGTGTCAGCATGGTATATCATAAGTTTTCTGGTCTCCATTTCACAGAAGAAAAATCAAACTTACGAGACACTGTACTTTACATTTTCCATGGTAGCTGCGATATATGGGTAAGACTGTAATGAATGCAAATATGATTGAGCACGTGTTTTCACCAAGATTGAGGTATCTTTATCACAGGACCTACATGTCAGAGCAGTGTGCCAATAATAGAGAAACAACTTCCAGGTATTTTGTGGGAATGATGTCTTCATGTGAAGGATTGTCCCACAAGAAGTTCGTAAACTGCGCCTACATTAGTACTCTGCGATCAGCATTGCGAGTTACTAAGTTACTAAGTCTATCTGTCTCCGAGTGGAATACTTATCAACACGAGATGAACATCGAAGACTGATAAACCACATCAGTCTGGTAGTAGATGCATTTCACCTAATTTCAACTGTCTTGCTATCCCTGGTCTTAGACCACTGGTGGGATAAAATAGTATTTCTCTCTTTTTTTCCCAACTGCTGTACTCTGCGGAGAAGTCCATGAATGACCATGATCAATTTGCCGACAAAAATTCGGGATTTGATAAAACTGAATAGGAGGAAAATCTTTAGGACGTAGTCCCTCAAATTAATCGTTTGTGATACGTGAATATGGTTTTATTTTAGATTGTGCCCCCTTTCCCTACTTTTAAGATTAAGAATGAGCCTTTTTGTTGATTCACCTCCAAGATATGCTTTTGTACCTTGTATAAGTAGTTTCATTAGATATCTACTTATAAAATGGATGTAAAGTGTGAATGATTTAGGGTAGTAAAATAAATAAATCCAAGAATAATTTAACATTTTTCAAAGTGAAAGCATGCCTACCTTACCCCTCAATTTGTGGGAATGTTAGCACTGGTCTCTTGCATTGCTAGCTGTCGTTGATGGCGCAATCACTCATAGGCTGGTGCTTTCTAGCAACCTGTGGTGTTAATTTTACGTATTTGATGAATTTGAACGGTAAGCCTAGATAGTCACATTCGATATCTACCTATCCAACGGGTGTGATATAGATATAATAGTTACACAATGTGAAATTTCAAATTTTCTTGGAACCAGAATGACCGACAAAGTCTCATTGAGTGCGAGAAAACCACGTGAGTTTTTTTCTCCTCAAGTGTATTTCATTCTCTTCCGCGTTGGCGCCCATTTACCCTGACCTACGTAACCATAATTCTATTCGAGTAGCAACGACTTGAGGCTCTCTTTTCGAAGGTCAGTTGCTAATTTGCATCTGATTCAGTTCTTTATTGTTAACACAACAAACGTGACGTCACTAGTTACTGTGTTTCAGTAATCTTGGATTCATTTGACATGCTATGAGCACAGTGTAACTCCATCTGCCCAGTAATTAAAATGGCTAACCTTGAACACTACAGCCCTTGAGTGGTTTGTGTGTAATTATCAACTTAGTTTATTGTGTCAGTATTTGATTGGTTATACGTATCACGTGTCTCGCAACGCTATCTGAAAGTAATTATGCAATAGCATAATTAATGACATAAAACATTGTTTATTTTACCCTTTCATCATCGTCTTCCATACGCCATTCATTTATTTCCAGCACCAATGTGGCGAGTCGCTTATTCTGAAATACGTATTCGGTGATATAAAAGTGAAAGTACGGTTGTTATTTCATTTACCATGCCTCGATTTTTTGTTTGTTCATGTGTGCTTAGAAAGAGTTGTGTCAGAAGAAATCGAAATAAAATAACTTTCAGATTTCAACTGACACGTTTGTTAACCCTGGGGCTGTCGTCATTTTAAACAAAATCACATTTTTAATGTTTCTGAAAGGTTACTGTCACTCAAAGCCCCGCTGATCAGCATTCTTTATATATAATCGTGCGTATGTTTATTTTATTAATATAATATTCAGCGCTCGACAACTTCCAGATGAACGCTTGCAATGTTTGGTTCGGCTTATATACACGTGACATCACAATAGTCGGTGAAGCAACACAGTACCACAGCGCCACATCGGAAAAAACCGCAGTATTCAAAACAGAACCATTGATAATCGAAAAGCAGAGACGGTTTAGCTTTGAAAAAAAAATCGCCTAATGAGGGGATTTCTTTTTATTCACAAAATCAGTACCTCGTTCTTTATTAGTATTATACACGTTCAGCTGTGACGTCATGTTACCATACTCTCCGAGTAACGTGTTAGTATGTGCAACACGGTTGTAGTTATATTTTCGTTGCCAGTTGCCGACAACAGAATTTATGTGAGATGGTGCGAGTTATGATTCTGATCGTCGCCGCTTTCTTACTAGTGAGCAACTCGCTTTGCCAGAACCATAATATTACTGTCGGAGTTTTACTCCCTTGGACCGGTTTCTGGAATGTAGGCAAGAATATTGGTGGAGCAGTTTCAGTCGCCGTCGATTATATTAACAGTAATCAAAATATATTACCAAACAAGACATTGCAGTTTGTATGGAAAGATACTGGATGCCATGCAAAACAGGGACTCAAAGAAGCCGTTAATCTGTGGAGTACGACACAACCTCACGCGTTTATCGGTGGTGGGTGCGATGAGGTGTGCGAGCCAGTCGGGCTATTGGCCTCATCTTGGAATATTCCAATGGTCTCATGGGGCTGTACCTCGAGCTCTCTGTCTCGCAAATTCGAGTACGACACATTCTCAAGGACAGTCGGTCCTTATACTAAAACAGGACCCATGTTCGTTGGCATCATGAAATACTATAATTGGGCAAGAGTTGCAATTCTCTCATCCACATCACACATGTGGCAGCTCACTTCTCATGACATTCTGCTATCGTTAGAGGAACAGGGCGTTGAAGTTGCGACATTCCAGACTTTTGATCCTGGCAACGAACACATTGGTGAGGTCACATTGGGACACACGCATATGTTGGAGGATACCATGTCACTGAGTAGAAGTGAGTACACTTGAGCTTGACTCAAATGCTTCGTGTACGTACACTATCAAGCAACCCATCATTCTGATTCAGTTCAATATGTCTGGTGAGATAAAACTACATAGTACAATACATGGTGTACCCCTAACAAGTGTTCATTTGTGTTTCCTGACTAAATACAAAATATTAGTTGTTTGGAATACATTTAACAAATAATACTGATGCCAAGTGCGGAATATCGCCATTTGTATAAAACTATGCTTTTAATATTCATTTAGGGAAAAAATATAATGTTTAATGCCCGGTGATGGCTGTAATCTGAATTTAAGTAATAACATTGTCATTTAAACATAATTGTACATATCATTCGCAAGTTGGAACCTCTTGTTGCGTGTTGTTATGTGGATGATCGTTTGCCTGTAATTATTTACATTTCCTTGCCCGATTATCTCTGGCGGTGGACAATCATAAGCAGAGCGGTTCAAATTGAATAATGAATACTATTCTTTCTATGTGTATAGTTAAAATGCTATATCATCTCATTTATCCTCTTCGTGCCTCCTGGCACATAATACCATAACGCTTGTCTTCCAGCTTTGTCTGTCTTGTGCACTTCCCCTGACCTCATTCCAAGTTTTCCATCCAATTAACTTTCCCCCCTTTTCCACTGTTTTCTCATCCATGTTGTTTTAGGCCTGAAGCTGCCCACCTTCCCTTTTCCATTTAAATGCCATGTTAAAGCAATCATACAATGGTAATTACTTGGCTTTTTCATAACATGTCCTATCCATTTTCATCTTCATTGTCTGACCTCTTGACTTATCCTTGGTGTGTTGGTGTGATTGTGAAGTTCATCTATTGAGATGATGTTTGACCAGAATATTTGCTAGTGCTTTCTTCAAACACTAGTATTGAAAGGAGTCAAATTTATTCTCACCAGTTTTATTCTTCCCCCACGTTTTCACAGCCATAAAAGAGTACAGACCTGACTAATGATTTATATAGCTCGATTTTGTCTTTCTACCATATTGCTTTGATCGCCACACTTTATTCAATTTGGTAAATGCTACTCTAGCCTATTTATTCGACTCCTCATATCTCTCCCCAACACCCTCATTGCTTACAATTGCACCCAAATATATAAATTCTATCACATTTTCTACGTCAATCTCTTCTAGATGAACAGCATCATCTACAAGAGATTGACATAGAAGATGTGGATGAAATCACATATTTGGGTGCAATTGTAAGCAATGAAGAAAATAGTTATAATGCTATACGTTGTTAATGTTGTCGAGATTCGGCTTGTGTATTTCCACTAGACATATTAGGAGCTTGTTAACTACAGATCATTTCGAGCTGACTGTTTGGATTGGATGCGTCTAAAGTTTCAAAAATAAAAGCATTTGAACTAAATAACAATACACTTTTTTGCGATTTAAATGATATTTATTCATTAATTTATATTACATTGTATTGTGCGTGTATTGTAATGTCATATAATGGATTTTGAATTGATTACATAATATATGTTTCTCTTCATAGTTATTATAATCTGTTCCTCGGATGGAGACGTCCGAGATATCATGCTGGCAGCGTTTGATCTTAATATGATAAACGGAGACTATGTGTTTCTTACTATTGGACTACGTTCGGGATCTTATATAGGCAGGAACACATGGATGGGAGCTGATGGCCGGGATGTTTTTGCACAGTATGCTTTCCGTGCAATTCTTAATATCAATGTGCTCACTCCACATACTCCTGAATACAATGCATTTGTTGAGGATTCTATAAAACGTCTTGCAGACCCCCCATTTAATTACAGTCCAATGGAACCCGTGGAGGTGAGTCTGACGTGTTATTAAAACTTTTTTATTCAAGACTATGAGAGTAAATATATGCATCTATTTCAAAGAACAATATACAACCAGAAAACAATCGTATATATATGTTATTTTAATGTAATGTTTCCTCAAATTCATCAAGTTACAAAAAAAAATACATTAGATAGAACATTTATCTAGATTTATATGTTACTTTGATAGACAGGCAAGTCTAATACATACATAAGTTTCCGAACTTTAATAATTTTTCGTTACTGAATTTCATTAGTCATTCTCTACGAAATGAGTATACACTACATTAGCATATGTTTGAAGATTCTAGCGTTTGAAGTCTACGACTAATAAGTTCAATCAACCGTAACTGTACTCACAAACTCAAGTTATCACGTTTACGAAAATTAAAATAGTCACGCGCTTGTTTATTTGTGTCATGTTCACATTTGATCTTCGGCCTCATATAGGTGATATTACAAATATCATTGACCTTGAATGAATGAATCAGCTATGTTGGTATTGTTATGTATTACGGGGATATATTGAATACATGACAGAAATGATAATAAAAACATGCATGCCGAATTGAATATTATCATATGCATAACGTGCTTATTCTTAACTGTGTGACGTCATACAAGACAGATCACAAATGCTTATCCCATACTTTCATACTACCGAACTATGGCTTGTATTAATAACAACTCTATAATCACTCGTGTCTGCTGACGCCAACCTGAGAGTAATTGTACAAGATTTATATATAAATTTCAATTTGCCAGGTAAATCTCCATGCAGGGCGGTTATATGATGCTGTACTACTCTACGCAATTGCATTAACCGAAGAGCTACAGAGTGGCGGTGACGAACATGACGGGAAATCCATTGCTTTAAGGATGCGGAACATGACATTCCAGGGTAGGCTCTCAATAGAACTGAGACACAAAATGGCCGCCGAGATATAGCATAGAACGAGAACCACGCGATAAGTTTTAACCTACGAAATAATATTCCATTCTCGCGAATTATCGCGTGCTTTGTTAAAATCTATGTACCCCAGGTATTTTGAACAGTGGACGTGATGATAGGAGAGAGCCAGTAGAACACTTTTAAGGCGTCGAAGATTCTGTCGCTCTAATTGAGTTCCATTTCCTGAGGTGTTTGTAATAGTTATTCATTACATAGAACACGCATACCCACACTCGCGAACCTCGTGAAACGTTAACATATAATTGGTATACCGATGACATTATTTTTGTAACTTCAAATAACTGTATAATCAGTGGGAACGTTCTGACTCGATTTGAATAATTTGTTATGTATAAAATTGTTCTTTTTATCGAACGACTGCACCATTATTATTGTTCATCAGCATAGCTTGGCGGTGTTGCCACATGCGTGTGTATCGCACCATAATAATTTAGCATGTGTTCGTATCTCGCCATTTATAATATGTAATCGTATTTGTATGGATGATTTTCATCAATATACATTGTATTTATACGAGGGTTAAATTCTGCATGACTGGAGT